AAAATGTCTATTGGCTATCAGTGGTTTATATAATTGCATATTTAAGTTGTGTATACGCATATAAAATGCCGAGACATAATATAATTGGACAAATAGCTATCGGCTTGGTAAGCGTTCTTTATTCGTCAAATTGACGGCTGGTCGATTTTACTTTTAAATTGAGATTGTTTAATAAAACCATTTTAATACCAAATAAATACTAAAGGCTTATATTTGTCTTATTAACATTGTTTATAACAGACAAAAAATACCGTTTCACCTACATAAACATGTGTTTAATTCGATGTAAAACAGCAAAAAAAAACGTTAAATTGTAATTGTATACCTTGTAAGAATGTAATGTTAATATAAAGAAGATAACTGTTAAGAGAGTACTTTAGTTATGACAATCGCTTTATTTCTCCTTACGTGATTATCACGTGAGCTTACGCATTGATTTACATTGCAATCACTGCAATGTATAATTCTGGAATCTAAATTTAATTACAATTAGTAGAACATTGCAAATATCTTCATCTTTTAGAAAGGAAATGATTTAAAATGTCAACTCAGGTACAGACAGTTTCAGATTTTAGCTTCAATTATTTTACTGAGCAATGTGAGCAAAAGTTGGTATGTATATTTAGATACATTATACAGTTATGTTAGTTTGTGAATTTCATATAACTGATCAAGCGTCCACTATAAGCTGATTCTATTCTATAATAACTTAAGTGTTTTAAATATTTATGTTGTTATAACTTCTAACTTAAATAGATGTTCGTAAATGATAAAAATGCCTATTGGCAAGTAATGTTATGATCTTAAATTTGCAGTATGCATCCTAATATAGCTATATACGCTCGTATTGTTACCTTTATGTTTTATGTATATATTTCATAAACGAAATGCTTGCAGAGTTGATACGGTTTTCTGATGACATTCTGTGTAGTTTGACACGAGCTAGGCCAAACGAAATAGCAAAAAAAACACAATTAGATGACAAACTATGTTTCGCAATGAATTATTATTATGTTAGCATGCTTACATACATATAGGTCCAAGACATTAAATTTATAATAGACAAGTCTTTCAATTATAAAGTTATAATATAATTTTCGGTTAATTCGGTATTATTGGTTAAATCTAGAATTCTTGCAATTATTGCGTGACCTTTTACTTGATATACACAGGTAGCTAAATATACACTGAAAATATCTCTATAGAAAAATGTAGCCTTAAATACAAAATACAAAAATAAAAATCTTTATAGAAAATTCCATGTAATGCCTAGAAATGATCATGTGTCTGTTTCCTTTTGATAGCATAAGGTCTATTTTAGAAAGTCATTGACAAGAATAAATATTAATTAAAACTATCGGATGAAACGAGACTAAACTTATAAATAAACTGGTTGATACTAACCTTATTATCCTTCACTGTATATAATGATTGCATTATAAATATCTATACGGACTAAAAGATTTGTGCTAAATTAAGGCTCCGTCGGCATGTAAAGAAACTTAACTCGTGTAAACGTATAAGTAAAATGAAACCGTAAATAGTATTAATACATATGACAACAAACAATTTCATTACTCCTGTTGTGTTGTGTGTTGTTTTGTTTTGTATGTTTGTCTATTTTGTTTGTTTTTTGTTTTGTTTTTTGTTTATTTTTGTTCTTTACCTTGATAGTGATTAAAAGTACGTTAGTATGTAGAATTGTCATCCTTTTCAACTATTTGAAGAAATACAAAACATGTATACAAATGAAAAAATGAATTTTATGTAATTGAACACTTTACTGATTTTTGTATCAAAGAACTGTCATAACTCTTGTCAATTTTCAGTAAAATGGAAACAATTTAGGTCAACGCAATAGCAAAACGTAAATTTATCATTTATATCGTTATTAAATAGACTAAGTAAGAAAATCTCGCACTTGTATTTGTCTCAAACTTGCTAGAAATATTCTAAATTGTATAACATGGAGGTAAGGTAAGACATATCCTGGTTATGTTTTGTTAATATTTCATAAGTTATGTTTAGAAAGAAGGTGGGCGAGAAAATATAAAAAAAGTTGCAAGCTTTGTGGTTTTTTCTGATCTTTGCAATCTAAATCGTACCGTATATCTGTATGTATTTTTTAGTAAAAGTTATTGCTATATACTATAATTCCTCGTACAGGGTACCGAGATTCAGCGACTGCGTTTAGAATTTTTACTATATCAGTTTAATTTTGGTTACATCAAAAAATCATGTTGCTCATTTTTTATGACAGTCACACTTTATCGTTGCATATCGTGGCTACTTCCATTAGAAAGACACTTAAAAATAGGTGCTTGGATGGGATTTCAACTCCAGACCTCTCACACCCTAAACGAGCGCGTTTACTCAGCACCACGGAGATGTTATACGAACCTTGAATAAAATCGTATACATTGTAATACTAACTTTAGAGTTTCCATTTTGGGTTTGTAATCCGCATAATGTGTGATTCTGCATTTATTGACATTTCTTTAAGCCAACGCTACATGCGTTGTAAATTGTTGAAAGCTTGTTACAAAATAAAAATATTACTTTCTTTTACATCACTAGTTTAACCTGAGGGGACTTTAGGTTTACCCTCCGTCCGTCTGTCCGTCTGTCTGTCTCTCTGTCTCTCTTTTTTTCCAGCTCTATTGGTAGCGGAAGATCCCAGGTGGCCTCCGGGCATTATTTCAGGCACGAGCGGACACCTGGGTAGAACTACCGACCTTCCGTAAGCCAGCTGGATCTATCTATCTATCTATAAATAATATCATATAGTTCATATGAAAGGAATATTCCACTCTTCATTTTGGATAATATGTTAAGCGTAAACCTTTCACTTCTTTAACCAACAAAGAGACCTAAGTATTACATTACATTTAAATATTTGGTAAAATTTTGACATGGTATTTTACAATCCTTTGCAAAACAACACTTGTATAAATTAATTCAAACAAGGTGGGTTGGTTGGTTTAAATTTATGCATATTAGTAAGGGCTTCAGCAATTTAGAAATAATTGTCTACATATACATAGTAAATATATACAAAACCATTGCTAACCCTTTCTTTAACAACTGGCGTAAAACATACAAATCTTAAGTTAAATGTAACTTGTAAATGTTGCTCCAGTGTGCATTATAAGAAACATTATAAAAATCAGATATCATCCCCGATCAGATCAGGGGCTAACTGTTTAGCTATAATTTTGTATATATGTTAAAAGATAAATGTCCTTAAACTATACTATATATTTTACACATTAAGAAGTACACAAACTTATGATAAAAGAAATATTCAAAGCCGGATCAACATGTGCTATATTTATGACAATCAAACAAAAAGTAGTACTTAGTCGACCTATACAGTCCAGAAAATTAACTAATATAGAAGCAAATGTATTTATCAGTTTTGAATATTTCCTATTCTTATATCATCTTTGTTGTATATACACAAATTTGTTTCTCATATATAATATCATGCAAAACATTTTGAACTGAATTAAACTATTTTCCCCTGCTCATATTTTTTTAATATTTACATAGGTTTATCTATGCAGAAAATCTGTTTTGGCTTGTAATATCATATGTCATGTTTTTCTGCTGGATTGTAACATGTGTTCATTAGACAATACATAGCTAAGCTTATCTTGATCAAATAAATGCTTTGAAAATGCACTTCTAAGTGCAGGCTTTATTTAATACAATATCATTTTCTAATATTTTCATACAAAGGACTATAAAATAATACATTTTTATATGCAACATAAGATGAATAAAGAAATATGAATAATGTTAAACGTAACAGCCTGTTAGGTATTATTGCTATAAATTTGATTGTTTGTTACAGCGGCCATGCAAGAACAGAACAGTTCGAAATTGTTGGCTACAGTAGATATCCAGTATAGTGTTAAAAAGTACAAACTTGCTTTTTCTTTGTAAAAATTAGATGAACATTTAAATTAATTAGTATCTTTAACTTTAGAATTCAATTATTTATCCTGAGAACAAAATTATAGGCTTATCTTCTTTAAGACTTTCGTTTTCATTTCTTTGCTTTTTCGGCCAACAAATTTTAATAAAGAGGAAAAAACCTTCATAATGTCACTATCTTTAGAAAAATTGAAACAGTTATTTAGTTATAATATTTTATTCAGTCAGTTGATGTGAACGTGTTAGTATGTATATCAAAGTAATAACAGTGCTGCTCAGTATAAAGGTCTCTCTGTAAGACAGGTCAGTTCAGACAAAAAGTAAAAGGTTTTAAAAAGGTACCTCAGACATATGAGACCTGTGATCATCATGTTATATAATCACAGAAGAAGATTAAACCCATATCCTTATGTAGTTTAAGAGGCATCAAAATGCCTGCAAAAACTTAACCAAAGTGTAACTACGACGCCGACGCCGGAGTGAGTACAATAACTTCAAATAATTTAATCATTTCAAATAGGATCATACTACTTCATATTAAACAAACTTCATTTTTTAGACATTGTGAAATGTTGATAAGATAAAATGAGTATTTCATTTTCCGTTGTTTTTTTTTTCACTGTAAAAATATTTTTTACTACAGTGAAACAAATTTTCCGTATTTTCACTTGTGTATTGCCGGACTACTTTTTTCCCAAAATCAGTTTAAACACAAAATTGATGGGGGATTCTTTCAAATCATAAATGTAAAAAGAAAAAACATAATATTTATAATAAACCGAAAAATTAAAGTTATTTTCTCTTTATACAGGACTTATTTTCATCTTGTTGTATGAAAATGTTCATATTTCACTCGTGGCTGCTGCAACTCATGAAATATTTATTACATACCACTCGATGAAAATAAGTCCTGTATTTATAGAAAACAGTTGAATATCCTTAATGGATTGATTAATTTATTACATTATTTATTATATGTTTTAATATATAAAATTGTCAAAATCAGGTAAATCACGTCGAACATATTTCGGGCCTCTTTAAAACATGATATTATATAAAAATAAAGTTTCCTTTGTTTCCTGCGTATTCCGGGAACGCTACGTTTAACGGAAAGTTTGCAAGATGAATACTGTACTGTGTCTATTTGTTGTGCTAGTGTCAATTACTGTTGGCAATGGAGCAGTATCGTTTAGCCCTTCGGAGTCGGAGACAGGTAAGGGCGCGTTTTTTGTTGTTGTTTTTTTAATTATGTTGTAAAAAAATATATACTATGCCCATACTTGAGTAAATCTTTTAATCACAGGAATTTATTAAATCTATAAAATTCTTACTGAATATTTCTAATTTGTACTACTTATTTGAATGAAATATTATTATTATTCCTAACATGTGACAATGTTTAAAAAGTTGGTCTTTTCTTAAAAAATTCATTTTTTATGAAATTATATATTCACATTGTGTCGCTCAATAGTTTGTAGAATTTCAAACATAACATATCTACTTTGTGTGAATTCAAAACATGTTATATTTATTTATTTTACAAAAATACTGTGTAGCAATTATCAATATTATCTAATATCAAATTTGAGCAAAATTTATCTTTTTAAAAAAGAGTCAGTATGCTATTATTTGATGTAAAACCAAACAAATAATTCCAATACTAATTTACCTTTATAAACACGTATATACTATTACAGTTATCACTATGGATGTGTTTAAATCACCACTTACATTGTGTCATTGTATTGTAAGTTTTTTATTGCCCACTTGATTTATTTGTGCAGATTTTTGTAAGAGTTGATTGCATGACCTGAAAATGTAAAACTTATTCACATGCTCTGACACATTGTTTCCATTATTTTCTAAGAATTATCAGCCAATTCATTTCAACACTAGAGCTTTTAAACAGTTATACATAAACGTGCAAATCCATACGAAAAAGAAGAAAAGAAATAAGCTTGAAATAAGCTAAAAGAAAACTTGGAGTAAACATGCCGTCAATAACAGAACATGATCCTATGTGTCAACCGGTAAATCAGATATTGTATGACAGATATATTTTTCAAACAAATAAAATGATGACATTATAACAGAATATTTACAAGGTAACGAGCAGTGCATATATGTCACAATATAACTATACGTTTAGAGAAGGTCATAATACAACTTATTCGTAACAACTTTTTCGTAAGAACGTACAAGTAAAATATTATTTGATGTTGATGTTTACTACCAGGATGAAAATTATATAATTTACCAGTGACTTCATGCCTAGAATAGTAATATCTATTACTTGGTTTATTTCGACACCTTTACTTAACATATAAGATCGAATTTGAACATCAAAAGGAGTGTAGATATATATTTCAAGTTTTATAAGTTTTTTATTTATTACTTTTTTATAATTTATTTATTAATTTATTTTTGTGAATTAACAAGGCTTACTATTTTGAGCGCATTAGGTCTTATCCAATATAAGCGACTATCAATACACCTTTTCCTTATATCATTTAAAAAAACTATTTAAAGCGATATTCGTCTTCGATTTTTCCACACCTTACACAAATTATTTTACTTAAAGGGATCTTACGTGGCTTAGGTCATCCGCCATTGTCTGTCGGAAATCTATGAGAAGAGACACGTAAACGGGAAAACGATTGACAAACTTTTTGAACAAAGTAGCATTCTAAATATGGCTTAAATTTAAAAGATGATATTGTATCATAAAAGAAAGCCCTACTGGATTGATTAAGTCTTGCGTTCCAGTTATGAATAAAATAATCATTTTCAACCAGCTTACCCTTTGGCTTTCAGCATATCAAAGTGTCTTGCTATCTGTTACCACAATTAATATAATCAAATAAATACAAAACTGTGATCACAGATTTTGTGTACATTTCTGCCATAAATGATTTGGCTTTAAAACGGTAAGAAAATAATTATGGTTTGCAACAAATTTATTCCAGTCTATGGAGAGAAAGTACAGTTCTGTAAATACAAAGACATCAGGATGCTTCCAGTATCTACAATAAAAGATTACGATAGCTGCGAAAAGTGTGTCTGTACCGAGAGAGGTCTTTCCTGCGCCACGTACGAATATTTCTATATTCTATTTCCTCTTTTATCCAATCTAGTTTTGTCTCCAATGAATTTTCTTAGGAATTTTACATTTATATAAAATCATCTTATCTTTTCTCAGAATAAGAATTCTGTTTATCAAATTATAGTAAACTGAGTGTTCCAAAAGTGTTCCTCGATTCAGTTCATTTGCGCTGAAAAAGCGTTCACAGGAGTAGTAGTGGGGTGGATGGGGTTACTACTCACAGGATACGCCCATATCAGTATGTTAAATCATATTAATCTTTGATATAATTGATTGTTTTTGTTCAATAGTTTACGAACGGCATTCCATGTCAATACTCCTGCGAATTCTAAATGTGTTAGTGTGAGAATAGGATGTGTAAACAGATGGAGGAGGAAGTCAAACAAGAACAAAAAGTGTCCAAAAAGCTTGATACCGCGGGATTTCACCATGGTTGGAAAATAGACGACAGTTTATTTTCTTTTAAATGAAAACATTCAAAGATTAACTTAAATGTCTACCTGTTGCAAAACAATAGTCTTTGATTTTTTTTTCTACTTTAAGTACGTTAAGTCAATTTGTCTGTTTGTATGTAAAGAATTATTTTCAAATGGAGAAAATTATAAATAAAATGATATCATATAGAGTATTTGTTCTTCTTGTTATAAAAAGAGATTTGTGAAGTTGGCGTCCTAACGGCCCGGTGGCCTAGTGGCATGAAGTCGACGACCTAACTGCCAAGTGACCTACCGACTGAGCGGCATAGCAGTGTGAAGTTGGAAGCCTGGCGGCATAGCGGCGTGAAGTTGGCGGAATTTGGCCAAACAACATAGTGGCGTTAAATAAGCGGCCTAGCAGCCCAGCGGCCTAACACCCTAAACTTAAAGCATTGTTAAAGTTTGATTAAGACATTTAAACGAATCTAGCTTAAGTTTTTACATGCCTAAACTTTTCAGTTGAAGACATATTATAAAAAAACAATAAAAACGGCACCTTATGAAGTTCTTAAGACGGCACCTTATGAAGTTCTAATTTCTTATAATAAATTATTTAAAAAACATATAATAAGTTTGATATTCATAAGGTATATAAAAAGAAAAAAATCACTTGGAGAAAAAAAAATATTTTATATTGTTTGTGAAGTGGCGGCTGAGTGGCTCAGCGGCCTAATAGGCTAAAATTTTAGTTGTAGAAACGTTATAGAAAAATCAGAACGGCATTTTATTTAGTTCGAAAGACATTTGTTATTTTAAGGATATAGACATAGAAAAATCACTTTGAGAAAAGTAATTTTTATTCAATATAATTTTGTGAAGTTTGCGGCCTAGCGGCCAGGGAGTCTGACGGCCTGAAATTTTAATTTTGAAAAGTTTTTCAGAGAAATTAAAACAACTCTTAATTAAGTGTTAAAGAGATATCTCAACAATTCAATTTAATTCAATATTTTTTTGGCATAAACATATACAATGTTCATCTCCAATACACAACTGTATTGCGGATATTATGTACAATTGAGAAAAGTATGTTATTATAAAGTTACAGTTGTAGATAATACATACCTTAAATAATTGATTAGTCAAAAAATGCTACCGTTAATCGATAGCTGTGCGTTATTGGAGTTCGATAATTTACACTGGGATTATTTTGCCTTGCCTACAACATACAGTATCCGGTGCACCGCCTTGCTCCTTCTTTTTCAATCTTCAATTGAATGAAATAAGATCAGTGTTAAACAGATACTGGAATTTTGTTAAAAATAATTGAAACAGTGCGTATTTACATCGTTATTTAATTTGATTTTATAAGATAAAGTATATATGTATAACGAGTTCGATTATTTAAATCAGATGAGTTTGCTATTTAGGTTAGACTCCTGCCTATTTGTCCAGAAGATTTCTGTTTATTAGGTTTAAAGGACAATGATGGGAATATTTAAATAGATAAATTTTTACCAATGGGGTGCAGGATTTCTTGCGCATTATTTCAGAAATTTTCTACATTCTTGCAATGGCTTGTCGAATGTGTTTCACAAAAAGATACATTAAACCATTATTTGGATGACTTTATTTTGCTGGAGCGGATAAAACAAGCAATTGTAATAATGTCATAAGTTTAGTTCATTTTCACCGGTATGTTTTTTGTTGGGTGTTCCTATTGCTGAAGAGAAATCAGTGGGTCCATGCACAAAGTTGACTTTTTAGGGCTTGAGCTTGATTCCTTTGATATGATCATAAAAAATCCATAGCATAAAGCGGATGAGTTCCGAGAAGCTATTAAACAGGTTCTACTGAGAAAGAAAGCTACTCTAATAAAATTGCAGTCATTAGTAGGAAAACTGTCTTTTTGCAGTCAAGCTATACGTTCAAGTAGGGCATTTTTGCGTAGATACTACGATGTAATGGCAAATGTTAAACAGCCTAATCATAGGCTTCGAATTTCAGAACCGGTAAGACTTGTTTTATTTGTGGGGCTCATTTTTTGGATTCATTCAATGGTGTTAGTTATATCCCATATGACATACGTTTTAGGAACAGTTACAGCATACAGTCAGTTTGGACACCTACCCTGGAACAAATAGTCATGTTTATCTCTTGGTTATCATTAAAAGAAAGGGCATTTCAACTGCCCGTTTATATGTTAATGCAATTGGATTTCGTTGCAAGGTTAGCAATGTTTGTGATGTTTTAAGGCAATACATTATTGACAAGGTTTTAGAGGGTTTGAAGAGGTAAGAGACTCAAGACTACCCACGGGGGAGGAAGTGTTACACGAAGGATGGAGTTCTTATGATAACTTGTTCAGGAGTTCTTGTGATAACTGTCACGGAGTTCGTCGGAAAACATCTGTATATACTACAGACATACTCGTTAAAAATGGTTATTTTCATCTTTCCAAAATGAGTTTTAGGTGCTAAATTAAACTTTAATGATTACGCTTGTCTTACATCTTGTATTATGTGTCAAAAACTAATTCACAGGCCATTTTTAATCGCCTCTTGCTTCAAATCTGGTAGTTTTGAGTAAAATTTTCAAATTATATGCAAATTCACAAGTATTGACCTGTTTATTTCTGGTCTTCATCCTTGCCATACATAATTACCTAATTATAATGCAAAATTGCAAACATAAAGCACAGGCTAACAGATTTATAGCCGATTTTTCAAATGTCCCGGAGTTCTTATGATAACTCTGAAGATGTCACAGAGTTCTTATAATAACTTTTGTTATTGCAAGTGTGTTCCTTGCGCTAAATTACGGCACGTTTTAGCGTTTTTAATTATTCATTGAGATTGTAAATCATTTTGACATGTAGTACGCTCATCTTTTGCGCAAAAAAGGATATATAACGTTTGTTTTGAGTGAATTTTAGTTCAAGAGATATTTTTTCTTTCCCCCTGTTTCTTTTTCATAGTATTCTTTTTTGTTTGACTTAGATTTCGTAGATTTGAAAAATGATTTATGAACTGGTTTCCTAGCAGTTTCCAGTCCCTAGCAGGTTTCTGGCCCTTTATCATTTTCATCCAGGCATACAGTCTATTTTTTCTCAGTACAGCATCTATGTTACTGCATCAATCAGAGAAACATTTGTTTTCTACGTAATACAGCAGTTATAATAGTACAGCGATTAATACGTTTCAGAGTTTTGTCTGTTGTTTTAAGTTACATTAGAGGACGTGCGACACTTACAAGCAACACCTGGGGAATTATAGTTTGAATGCCCATGAACAATAACTGAAATCCCATTCTAGGTAAATCTGGAATCTGGAGGGACAGTTCAAATGTTTTCGAGAGATTGGTAGTTAGAGCCAACCGCAGTTGAGCTTTTATCATGTATCGTACTTTTTTAAGACATAGGTGTGGAAATTATCCTGGTTATATATTTATTTATTATGGTATAAAATGATACAAATTACTTAGCCTTAAGGTAAGGGAAGCATGCCTATATATTGTCTGCTTAAGAAATGTGGTTGCTTAAAACATGTGAAACTGAGAACAACGTGTACGTTTTGAGACATTTTTGTTTTGTGGTTTAAGCTATTATACTGCTGAATATCAGTGGCCGCTGGTTCAATTTTTACTGTAGATGATAGCCTATCATCTATTCATCCTTTGCAGACACTTAATACCAACGTTTTATCCACATTTTTTGTGCAAAGGATGATCGTACTGCATTTCATAATGATTTACAATCTTATTGAATGATAATAAACGCCAAAACGTGCCGTGATTTAGCCAAAGAAACACACTAGCAATAACAAAAGTTATCATAAGAACTCTGTGACATCTTCAGAGTTACCACAAGAACTCCGGGACATTTGAAAAATCGGCTATAAATATGTAAGCCGGTGCTTTATGTTTGCAATTTTGCATTATAATTAGGTTATTTTGTATAGAAAGGATGAAGGCCACACAAAAACAGGTCAAAACTTGTGAATTGGCAAGTAATTTGGAAATTTTACTCAAAACTACTAGATTTGAAGCAAGAGGCGATGAAAATTAGCCTCTGAATTAGTTTTTGACACATAATACAGGATGTAAGACAAGCTTAATCATTAAAGTTTAATTTAGCACCTAAAACTCATTTTGGAAAGATGAAAATAACCATTTTTGATGAGTGTTTTTGTAGTATATACAGATGTTTTCCGACGAATTCCGTGACAGTTATCACAAGAACTCCTGAACAAGTTATCATAAGAACTCCATCCTTCGTGTAACACTTCCTCCCCCGTGACTACCGATAACTCAAAATATATTGCAACATATTTTGTCAGTTGTCTGTGGTGTGTTCAAATTTGTATGAAAGTCATGTTTTTGCAGCAGCTTATTGTCTTGCATTTTTGCCTTCCTTAGAGTGTAACAAGCAAAGACTCTGCTGCAAACGTAATTTAAATATCTGATTTACTAGTAGACAGACGTGAAGGTTATATCATAGTAACTATTCGGTATTCTTAAACAGATCAGTATGGAAGAGGTTCGTTTTTAACGATAAAGCGGTGTATTTCTGCTATATGTGCTGTAAGTAATATGTTAGAGTTCTTGAAAAGGCGCCCGCAGGTATATGGGCCATTATTTTGTCACTTGAATGGTAAACCTTTAACACGATATCAGTTCACTTCTGTTTTGAAGAAATGTTTGAACAATTTAAGGCCTGATTATGGGAAGTTTACATAACATTCTTTTAGAATAGGGGCGACAACGGCTGCAGCTATGTCAGGTTACGATGTTAAAACAATTAAGCGTGCTGGGCGATGGCGTTTCAAGGCATATCGTGTTTATCTTAAAAAAGAGGATGTTCACATACTGGCATTTTTGTCATTGTAAGTGTATATATATAAATATATAAGGTTAACCAATTTTTATGCTAACCTGCATGTGC